ACAGTTGGACAACAGAAATGTTTATCATGAAGAAGTCATTTGCCCGGGAGACATGATTGAATTATATTTGATACCTTGAGAACATCAAGCAGCACTGATTGTCGCACGCAAATTATTACATGACTATAACAGTAGTCATGTCTCACAACTATGTACATGGGTCGATGCAGCACCTAGAATCCTAGATCTAACATTCATGTCTTGTTAAGGACGTAATACCTGCTCAATGTAGAATAGAATAGAATAGAATAGAATATTTATATAATAATTATTATTATTTATAGAATACTTATATATATGCTATATTATGAATATTCAAGTTCCCTCAGCTCAGGATAACCAAGCCGTTCCATTCATCTTGTTGGAGCATTGTGTAGTTCAGACACACCCAATGTGTTTGTGTCACGAGAACACGATACATATGGAGTAGAAAAGGCAACGAATATGAAATGAAATTACCTAAGTTGATTTAGGTAATTCCCCAAAAGTTCCCCAAAAGTTCCCCAAAAAAATTTTCAGATTCTACCAATGATTGTAGGTATTGTATTTTGTTCTTTTCGTTTATTTTATATATTTACATATCTATACGTGCTCTGTATAGCATTCTTACAAAATTGAGCAGTAAACACAGGGGGGGGGGGTCCAAGGGGAACTTTGAGGAACTTTTTTTTGGGGAACTTCAGGAAACCTGGGGGACTTTCCCAAAGTTCCCCAAAAAAATTATCATGCCAAAAAAATTATCATGCTGCAAGTATCAACAAGTAAGTTAAAATTATACCTTATAATAACATACATGTTAACATTAATGGGTATTAATGTATATTAGAGAAATTTTGAATAATTTTGGGGAACTTTTTTTTGGGGAACTTCAGAAAGTTCCCCAAAATTCCCCAAAAAAATTATCATGCCAAAAAAATTATCATGCTGCAAGTATCAACAAGTAAGTTAAAATTATACCTTATAATACCATACATGTTAACATTAATGGGTATTAATGAATATTAGAGAAATTTTGAATAATTTTGGGGAATTTTGGGGAACTTTTTTTGGGGAACTTCAGAAATCTTGGGGGACTTTCCCAAAGTTCCCCAAAGTTCCCCTTGGACCCCACCCTGATTTAGTCATTCGAGGAGAAATTCATGGTTAGGTCAATAAAATGCCATATTTTAGATCCCCACCAACTTTAGCCACCAAATATACAACATACATATTGTGTAAGCATAATTAAAAACAGTTTATATCGACGTTTTGATAACAGAAAAGCTAAACTGATTTCAGAATCTCAGAAATAATTCAACAACAGAATATGCAACATAAACGAAAAAGGTTTCATTCGTTGATCAAAGCTAGTGGCTGTCTAAAAATAAAATCCCAATAATTTTGGACCTCATGATAGATTTAAATATTAGGCTACGTCATGGATATACTTAGATATTTCATCACAGGATCTATATTATGCTCTCTTGAGTAACATAAAATATTATGTAATTTGTAATGAGATTAAATCTTATGAATTAGGGAAAGCGGTTTTGCCAAACCGTTTTAGCTAAAAAATGATATACCTAGCCACATTAATGAGAAACACATAGCGGTAAAAATTGAGCCAAAACCCACCATTATGTGTCGATGTCTACATTTTCAGCCGATTTGAAGTACAATTTTCAAATTCACTTCCTCGCTCCGGACCTCATTTAACATAAACAATCGTCATGAGCCATTAGGTCTACAGCACATGAGGAAATATTTTGTGATCTGAATTAGTCTTGCGATGTAGACTTCAGCGGTAGGGCAATGTGTAGGTACGTGTTTTTTCGTTGAGAGCCTCTATTCCGATGCAATTTTCAAACGATGACCCGTTTATTTATGAATATTCATTAGCATACCAAACATTTCATGTGTTAGACATTAGCTTGAAATCCAAGGATATTAACAAAAAAGGGTCGAATCTTGAGATTGCAATTTGCAAGCTGACAAAGTTACAAGGCAGCAACGTATTCATGAAACTTTTAAGCAGAATTTTTAATTTGCCACTAGGTTCCGGTTTGGCAACAAAAAAATTGATTGATGATGATATCCGACAATTTTCGGTCCAACAGACAAATTCCTAGAATTGGTGTGATTATATGTATCATCAAATGCGTCATCCATTATGATATTTATTTGCACCGAAATGATGCTGTAAGTTGATTCGGCTGGGATAGTGATATTCCGTTAATTAGCGGTCAGTTAAGTTCTTAGGAGCAATCGGCATGCCCAAAAACACGATCAGATCGCGATTTACATATATGAATATCAGAGGCACATATTAGGTGCGATGGGTGCGGGATCGCACAATTTACTGTTTTCCGCACATTTCCGCATAACTTATTGTTTTCCGCACACTTCCGCACATTTTGTAATTTTCTGCATATTTCCGCATAATCTAGCATTTTCCGCGTAATTTCGCATAATTTTGAAATTTTCGCGTTAAGATTTTCGAGTTTAAAAACCAAAATATGTTAAAAGTCCGGCCCTTTTAGGACCGTGACTCAGGCCCTTTTAGGACCGTGACTCAGGCCCTTTCGGGACCGTGGCCCAGGCCCTTTTGGAACTCATACCTAGGCCACGTGACCCAGTTACCACGTGACCCAGGCCCTTTCGGGACCCTGACCCAGGCCCTTTCGGGACCGTGACCCAGGCCCTTTCGGGACCGTGACCCAGGCCCTTTTGGAACTCATACCTAGGCCACGTGACCCAGTTACCACGTGACCCAGGCCCTTTCGGGACCCTGACCCAGGCCCTTTTGGGACCCTGACCCAGGCCCTTTCGGGACCGTGACCCAGGCCCTTTTGGAACTCATGCCTAGGCCACGTGACCCGGTTGCCACGTGACCCAGGCCCTTTCGGGACCATGACCCAGGCCCTTTCGGGACCGTAACCCAGGCCCTTTCGGGACCGTGACCCAGGCCGTTATGGAACCCTCGTCGTTACCGTACTTCGATCATACCTGCAGCCCTTTTTATCGGGTAATGAGCTCTATTCGTTGTATATATAGTAGCGTTGTATATATAGTAGCGTTGGCTTTATAGTGGGCTTAATGGATCTTGTATCAAATGGTTCACAAGTACTGACGATCAATGCCAACAAGCGTGTCACATATTTGCGACCACGCATGGGATCTGATCGACTCTATCAAGAGGCGTCCTCAAATAACTGTCTCCTGATCTCTACCAGATCAAGTCACTGTTCTCAGATAACTGAATCTCAATATAGGTTCAATCATGGTCTTAGTAAAGAACTACACCCTCAGTAACACATAAACAGACCTGTTTTTGATAAGAGCGGCGGTTATACGTTTAGAATTTCCAAAGTCCTTCAGAAAATGCAAAAGAAAACCGCACAATTCCCGCAAAAATTTCGAAAAAATCGTCGCACATTTGCCGCATAATTGGTAAAAATTTAACGCACCTTACCGCACATTTTACCTTTATAGTCGGGTGCGGTACCGCATAATTTCGATTTTTTTACCGCACCTAATATGTGCCTCTGATGAATATCTTAAAAAGGAAACCAAAACCAAAACTTCTACAAACTAAGGAGGGTCCCATTTCTCCGAGACCACGTCACGGTTATACAGAACGGTTATTCTAGAACTATAAAATCGAAGCTCGGGAGAAGGTGCAATAATAGTCACGTAGGTGAGTTGCGGAGGGTTACACTGTTGATGTATTGAGAATTGAGATTTGCTAAACAAGTCATAAGTCTCCTACTCAACAGAAAATTTAAACAGATTTCTGTATCAAATCCAAATTAGGACGACTCACATTTAATCACAATTTTAATTGCTAAATGATAAATAATTATATTTAAATGGGTGTCTGCTGTCTCCGCCAAACTGCGCGCGTACATACAAAACTATAGCTGCCATCAATTGTTGTGCATAAATAAGTAACTATCTGGTGTTCCATGATGGAACCACCAAAACAACAGCTCATCACAATGCTGTTAAATTCGCACTAAACGTATTATTCGAATTAAATTCGCATACGAATTTTTCTCTGAAAATTGCCGCATTTAAAAAATATACCAAATACGGGAACAGGAAATCACGTGTCCGCATCAAAATGTTCACGATAGTTGGCTTTGTGTTGTGCAATGTTGCCAAAACATGTGCTTCCCGCAACACGTGCGTGGTTACTGGTTAGTGATCACTAGTGTGGGTACTGACCAAGATCGCTATGTGGTTAAATTTAGCTCATATCCGAAAAAGTTATGGAGTAAACTAACTTTTCTTGATAAACTTAAAATCACTTAATTTCCTCCACAGTCTAGTCTACTTGTCGGGGTTTGTAAGTTTGAGATTTGCATGTTTGGAGTATAACGTCACAATTCACATATCCAACTAGATTATAGACTCAAGAATGCTGCGCGTTCTATTCCCATTTCCCACAGCCGCATTTTTACCGAATTTTCCGCGCATATTTTGGCGAATTTAACAGCCCTAAAAATTAAAACTTGGCGTTGAAAATTGGCGAATTATTCGCGTACTTTTTGAACACTGTAAATACGCCGTACTTTTTGACGAAAATTTGGCGAATTTAACAGCCTGGGCTCATCATAACATGGTAAGGATTAAGCGGTACTAAAGAATAGGGAAACTACGCGGACGACCGGTTAATTAACAGGTTAATTCACGGTTACCGATCACTAATTAAACGCACGAAAAACACACGATTGACGCACTCATGGCCCGCAGACATCAAAAGGGTACTTAACTCACTGTTTGTCAACCGTGCGTCACGTGTCCACTGTCCAGCGACCGATTACCAAGTTCCCCGATTGAAGTTCAGTCTGAATACTGAATGGACACCATATTATAAAAAGTGTAACTGTTGTTATTTACGAGGTCTACGAGGGACATAGTAGTAGTTATACTGCTGATTATTATTACTCTGTTAGAGTATTTGTGGACCAAACAATGATAAGAAGGCAAAGAACTAATTATCGGTTGTATTATGATATTTAAAGGCACCGTACTGGAGCTGGAAGGTGATTAGGTTGGAATAGTGAAATTCCGTTAATTATAACGGAATGGATATTAATTGAATTTCCGGAAACTCAGTATTGGTCCTTTAACCAAGCAGGACGGTTACAAAATACACATGACTTGGGAGGAAGCAGATAATATCGTTATACAAAATAAATTATGGGAACAATGCTAAGCGTAAAAATAACATACGGATCATAAAGATCAAAACAAAACAGCTCGTAGCCGAATGGGTACCTGTATTATATCCTGATATGCCATTTGAAGGTGATGGTAGTTGAGAAGGTGATAAATGGTGAGAAGGTGATAATCTGTGCAGTGGCAGAGAAAGTGATGGGACGGGGTTAATCGGGGACACTTCAGACGACAAACTGGGTGCAGGAGGGGGGGTATTGCAGGCCTGGTGTGGCGTGAGGTTAGGTGCAGAACGTTGAGGTGTAGTGTTGGATCGGGGTGATAATCTGTAGTCTAAAGTTGGGCGAGGTGATCGAGGTGATAGAATCTTACCTGAGAGGAGAGAAAATGATGGAAATAGAATTAAGTTACTATGGAAGTTTTCGTGAAGTTTAATGATAAATGTAAAATGAGGTATGAACTGGCGGGTCAGTTTGATTTGGACACCAAGAAACCAGCAGCGATACTTCAAACGAACCAGATTTATGATAATAATTTATTCTTGAACTCAATACATTTCCGACATGACCAACGAATTTTCGTAACTACCCTAACTAAACAGACTTAACATACATCGAAAATTATCAAAGATATTGAATTTCAGATCCTTTATCATTCAAATCTTGAAATCAGCCTGAATACCAGCGATCCAAGTGTTTAACCAGAAGTGTTGATTATAATGGACTACGCCAAAAGTTAAACCCCCAAGTCCGACACTTTTCTACCGGCCTTTCGCTACCAGCACAGTTACCGATAAAGTTAGCCACAGTTATTACTTATGTACTAACCAAATAAGTATGATAATATGTACTTACCAAGTAAGTCGAGAGCAGGAGTACCGAGGACGGGGGGAGGGAGGTAGGAGAGAGTACCTAGAACCAGGTACTCCATTACAACGTGGGCAGCCAGGGACATCTCAGTGTCCGGGCACTGGTCCACACATCTGGTGGGGTGTTACGGTCAGCTAAGGGTTAGCTTAAGAATTAGAGTTACAGTTAGCCTTAGGGTTAGCTTGATCTTAAAATTTATTCCGCTTTTATTTTTATTCCCAATCTCGATTCCTTGCTAGCAGTCCGGTTAATTTAGTACCTTTAGTGGGTCTCTTTTAATCATTAGCTCTAATTAAAGAACCTCTCACCCTCTCAGAAAACTCCGTTTGGAGATATTCCTTATTATGCTCTAAGTTATTAATTTTCCTTGTGTTTGAATCCTGTCACTTTTTAACTGTTTTTAGTCTTTGTTATTTTCGGCCGATTTCTGCACTTTTACACTGGGTCATCATTCATAATTTCTGGGATTGAGACGACTTATATCAGCATTTAAGGAAGAGTTTGCTTGTCTGACTTACTTCATTAGACACTTCTGGTCAAGAACTGAACAAGAACCACATTAAAAAACTGGAACATCTGAATGACTCCGCAACCCAGGAATCAACTACTCAGTTATTATCGCTCAATAATCGGTTTGGTATCGACGTTACATACTTTATTATTTTTTTTAAAAAGCTGATTTTAGAAACCAGGTAATTAAAGTTACCCTCCTAAGGCTAACATTAAATCGCTGATTTTATTTATATATATCATTTTTGTTGTTCTTTCTTTTCCTTCAAAACATTCCAGTACATTGTGCAGAAAGTTGGAGATGAAGCCGTAGTACGTACATGTAGCATTGCACTGGATCGAACTTGCAGAGTGTGGTTTCCTCCAGTCTGCGCCGCGCGCTTATATAAACATACGCGGCGCAGATCGACTGGAGGAGATTGCACTGTGTAGGCTCCGGTGTAATATGATATGTATGTACTACGGCTTTACAAATTTTGGAAGCATGTAGGGATATAAATCTGATACCAATCGTATATTCTAAAAATACTCTAGCACAATTGTAACTGCAGTTTTACAGAACTCTAAATGCTTAATGAACACTCTTGCAGGTACCACCCGTATTCACACTCAGACCTGAGTTTAGTCATTTTCCGATACGAGATTGGGGACGGGTTCTATAAACAAACAAACAAGGGTTAGCTTTACAATTAGAGTTACTGTTAGCCTTAGGGTTAGCTTTACGATTAGAGTTACAGTTAGCCATAGGGTTAGCTTTGCGATTTGAGTTACGGTCAGCTTAAGGGTTAGCTTTACAATTAGAGTTACTGTTAGCCATAGGGTTACCTTTAGAATTAGAGTTACGGTCAGCTAAGGGTTAGCTTTACAATTAGAGTTACAGTTAGCCTTAGGGTTAGCTTTACGATTTGAGTTACGGTTAGCCTTAGGGTTAGCTTTAGAATTTGAGTTACGGTTAGCCTTAGGGTTAGCTTTAGAATTAGAGTTACGGTCAGCTAAGGGTTAGCTTTAGAATTATAGTTAAATTAGCCTTAGGGTTAGCTTACGGTTATCTGCTTAGATTTGCACCACTTTCTGTCTAATTTACAAATCATAAACCTAGTCGACCAATAGTATCATTTACAAACAAGTCGTGTGTCATATTTTATCTGAACACTTTTACACTAAGTTTACTGCCTGCTGATATCATTTGTCATCGTTCTTAAAAAACACACCTATTCACATGACTTGTCGTAGGACAGCTCCGAGTTCTGATTATTCTAAAACAGTATCGTTGATTCAAAAACAGTGCCGTTGATTCTTAAAGAGTTCAGTTGATGACAATTTGAATTACTGTAACTTTAATTTCATATTACTTCTATCCTTCTCTTCCACACAACGTCTTTTATACCGTATAGCCTACCCTAGGACTACCCCCTACAATATTCTCTTCAGAAAAGATGGTTGGTTTCAGCTGAATTATCTACTCACTCAAGAGCGATGAGGATAGAGGATTGAAGTGGAGTAAGGTTGCTATCCTGAGCACTTAGAACGAACGGTAGGTCTGGTCCTATCGGGACAGCAGCAACTCCTCTCACTACTTTTGAAAAGTTCATCATATCCTCCCGGGTGAATCTGGATAATAAATTTCTGTCATTGCACTAAGAACCAAATTACAACTTGTAATCAATTTTTGACTGGTAGTGGAAACACCTTATCACAATGTTGACACAACTGAGCAAATCATTAACGCGTGATTTACATAACCAAGCAAATTATCTGACCTGCTGGCGACTCTGGGGTAGATAAGAGTGAATATCCTCATGAGACTGGTAAGGAAGTTCTGAGCAGGAAGATCATCAGTACCCTCTACCGGGTAGGAGAGGTAGGGGTGGGTGATACGGTGCCCTATTGTGTGCCACGTGTGCCAGGCTACGTCCCATAATTCTGACGCTCCCTCCTGGGTCCCCTTTAGATATTTGGAGTCAATTAATTATTAGTGATTAGGGAAACAAGGATTGAAGGATTTACAAGTCTCGTGGTCCAAACAATAATTTGTTCTTTTTACATTTACCTCAAGTTCAGAAGGTTGTACAATGTACATGACATACAATAACATTTGAGTAGCGTTACATAAGTACATACATTAGTGTGGTGGTCTAAGTTTTAGACTCGATATTTTACGGGGGTACATTATAGTTGCACAGTTAATGGAATACTTACATTATCCTTGAGTAGTTCGTGGAAGCTAGTTAGGGCAGCGGTTGAGACCTCACTAGTCGGATGAAGAGCTCCACTCTCGATGTGCCTCAATAGTAACTCCCATGCTCCGAAGAAATTGTCTAGCTTGAACAGGATACCTCGCCATGTCTGAGAAAATAATTTGCAAATTTAGCACGTTGCACTTACAGACATAGAATTAAAATAGAGATGTTTTCTAATGTGCAGAAAGGTTGCTGCAAGAAATGTTGGTACATACTAATGACTACATAAACATTAAACAGTGATTTTTGACAGAATCCCTGCAGCCCCCTGTCCAAACTCCAAACATACCTGAAAGACCCTGGCAACGCCGGAGATGGCCCCAACTTGAGTCTCTGCCCACTGTTTACACGCTGTGTTCCGGGTGTGATGTACTAAGATAGGTGTACTGGACTCTGCTCTCTCGAGGGACTCATCAGGAGCGGTGGAGGAGAGACATTTCACCTCTTCCAGCAGCGGGAATAACACCTGAACAACCGGATTGTACTCACATTAATTGTGTTCTAAGTGAAATATTGGGTGTGTTCACTGTCCAACATAATACACAAAGGACATCGTAAAAATCACCTGTGAAAATCACCTGTGATTGCCTTTTCAATTCCTATATATAATGATTAATGCCACCATGTCTCGCTAAGTTACAAATAGTAAGATAACTAACCTTCCAGAGGACAATGTTCCAGGTCTGGGGCTTGAGGAGATCACCGTGAGCACTGAGGGTTGAGAACAGTGTCTGTCCCGCACTCTTCCGAACAGGTGGTCTCACGTCTATACACAGATCTCCTACTCTCTGAGAGGACGGTGTTATATTACATTCTGTGTTTCATCGACTAATGGGTTGTTCTCATAATCTCGTGATTGTGTTATTGTTTCCCCTACTCTTGCCGTAGCAAAAAGAGCCCGCTGGTGGATATAATACGCCATTACGGATCGGGAAATTGAGCGGCCATCCACAAAAGAAAAGCGGCCGCATTTCTTGTTCTAATAAACTGCGGTCTGCATTAAGTTAACGACTTATTTTAGGCACTCTTTTGCTTTATTCTCCGACTTATCTGACGAACACGCCTCAGTTTTCGGACACAAAGATTTATTTGTTTTGGTGAGATGATTATAATTATATGAAACTTTTATCGGGCTTAGGTTCGTCAATCAGTGCTTCCTTCCTCTAGTCTTGATATCTTGCTAACAATAAAACATTCCCGGTTAAATAATTAATTTAATGCTGATTCGTTTAACAATAACATATTTCTTTAGCCTTATGCTTGTTTCTTTTGTACATTTGTAGTTATTATTCACATTATTGCTAGTTATGTCTTCAACAATAAATGTTGATTATATAGATTCATTTTAACAAATTTAACCATTTAAACCATCGTGTAATGTGTTGCAGCTATTTAAAGCATAATTTCAACGTTCATATGTGACAAAAGCTTGCAGTCAGTCGAAACTTATACAAATCCAGATGAATTTTGTATTATAGTGAATAGAAGCTCTCATTTCGTCTTCAGTAATGAAATACATAACGTTTCCAAGGAAACTAATTCTATTATGATAAGCAACCCGGACCATATTATGTGTGGATGTTATATTTTCTGCTAACGACTGTGAACGAGTACTCTGTACAAATTGCCCTGTTAACTTTCCTGATATAATAACTGCTTTCTTGAATAGTTTTATCCGGAAAAAAGTTTTCTTAAAAAGGTCATTTCTGCTTTTTTCGCAAACAACAAAAATACGTTATCTTATAATTTTCCACTTGTAGTCAGGAGATTGGAATGTAAGATTATAATAATTAAACTGATTTGATTCAAACAAGGTACTTATCACGGGTGATTCTGTTGATCAGCTTCATCAGCTGTTGATCAGTTTCTGTTGATCTATTATATTATAATAATACAAAATTAATTAAGTTCTATTTTCGTCCCTTTAAGTCACCATGAATATACCTTTGTTAGGCAACGATGGTTTAGTATATGTGGACAAGTGACAACGATGGATAAGAAGCTGAAAGAAGAATACATATTTAGGGGAGACATCAAAGGTTTTGATAAACTCAGAGGATTAATGGCCATAGGTGTGGATTGGTTTGATTTTAGAGACATGAAAAGTCAATACTTCCTCTCTCACGCTCACAGCGATCATTTTAATTTTAACGATTTTTACAAAAATAAAACCCGCTATTGTATCGGGTTATTTTCTTATGAGTTTAGCCGTGAACTTAAGCGAAGACCTCATACAAAAATTCATTGTACCGCAACAACTTGGGAAATTATCAAACGACTTCCTATTGCCGGAGTTCTTGCTAAGGACCATACAAATTTTGAGACACTAAATAACCACATCGTCACCGTGGAGCCAGATATTGAGAACTCAATAACGATAGAGCTATTTTTCAAGAATGGGAAAAAATCTAAACAAACAATTGATGTGACCATAATCCCAGCAAACCATATTCCCGGAGCTGTGATATTTCTTTTCGAGGATAAAAAGAAAAACAAACGAGCTCTTTATACTGGGGACTTCAGATACGATGTCAGGGAAGAGAACGATGAGATGACGGCTTTAAAGGAGTTTGTTGAGAATTATGATGAGGTTATCGACTTTTTGTATGTTGACATCACATGTTTAGATCTAGGGAGATTGTATCATCCAGATCAGAACAAATTACCAAGCAGGCAGGAGAGCAAAGTAATGGTTTGTAATCTCATCGAGAAATATAAACCTAAAAATGTTCACATAGACGCAGAGTTACTAGGAGCAGAAGATATGGTAAAAGCTGTTGCGGAATCCTTCAATAACACAGCTGCTGATATTATATCTAGACTAGATGAAGATTGTTTAAGACAGGAACTTTATGAGTACACTCTGCAAGGCATAAAGAAAACTGAAGTTCATATTCATATTCATGATAAATGGATCTTTGACTTTACATCTGTTTGCAGAATGTGTGAAGAAGATAAGGATACACTAACAAGAATTTCGCCGCGGTAAAACCACGCACGATCAAATTTCCCTACTGCCTACAATGTAATTGTTCTACTTTATTGTATCCCAGAGTGGTGTTTGGCGCACATGTAACATGATAATCGTTTTCGATATATTTGGCGTGCCACGTGCAGAACTTGAAAATTCTGCGCGCATTTTTGTAGTGTCGCGTTGATCTGTGTACGTGTGGTTTGGTTGTAGATCATTTCATATTTTGCGCGGTTTGTTTCGTGTTAACGATGTGTATTATGTCACGTCATATTATTGCATCGTCGTATGCCAACTTTTTTGACTGGAATAGAATATTCTGTCTCATCTTAGTTATTATAAGTATCTAACATAAACTAATACATTTTGATGCTTACTCGACACATCTACAGCACCATCGACTATATAGGAATCTTTAAAAGCATACCGCAATCTTGATCTTAGTTGCTTCTTGAATGTAAATGTAAAGTAACATCTGTTCTTAAATATGTAAATGTAATCGCTTTTTACCATTCAGTGTCAATCAACTGTTAAATAATCGGCCACGAGTTTATCAGCTGATGTAATAATTTAGTTTGTTCTGAATTTTATCACTCGGTAATTTATTAAAAAACTAGCGGCAATAGCGGATGAATAGTGGAACCTAGCGGATGCCTAGCGGATGCCTAGCGGAGAGCTAGCGGAAATTTAACAGTCGTCAAGCACCTAAAACTGGTTGCTATGCCTGCAATTAATTAACACATAACTGGCGTCGCGCGCGCAAAATAGGTTCCTTTTATACACATAATTATATGGGAGTGGTCTATATTGCGAAGGAGCAGACTTTTGTCGTCAACGTAGGACCGTCGGGCCACCTCATATATCCAAACCCGATTACTTATTCCCTACGATCTTTTTGCCTTCGGCAAGAGCAGGGAAAAAAATTCGGGCTACATTGAAATGGATTTTCGGAAAAGATAAGAACTATTCTTACAGTAATCCGGACACTTGGAAGAAAAATTGTACAATAAAGGACAAAGACAACGTGAGGAACTTCTGGCAGGTTCTGTATTCACATCACTCCTCGGATTATGAGCTAAGAGAGTTCATTTCTCACCTCAAATTCAAAAAAGTGTTTCCGATAAGTGAGTGCTTTTCTCGTGAATATTTTAAAGGAATCAAATACAAAGATGTGACCGGCCCAGAATTCAACTCAGAAAAGAAACATCACCAAATCAGGAAATCTCTTTATTTTTCACTTGAATCCACATCAATGAAATACAATGACGTACCAGTAAACGTTCGCTGGCTTATTCGCTGGCTTAAAGGAAACGGTGATCCGGATGATAGAGAACTATATTTAATGCCGGATGATAAATTTCATATAACCGGGAGATACTTCAGGGGTTATGATAATATCTTATCAAAAGTGAAGAAATACAGCCAAACAATCGAATTCCTGATCATTCCATGTACATACAATGGAGCTACAAAAGTCACTTGAAAAAAATGGTTACGATCTCTCTAGATTCATAGACAACTTGACAGAGGCAATAGCGACTAAAAACGTAGATGAAGCAATAAGTACGGTGCTATTTTACTCCACTACAAACGACATGGATGATGAATGGGAACAAATAATCAAGAAAGTTCCCAGAGTATTTTACATAGACCTGACCAAAGTACCCGAATACACCGATTCCGACACTCCTCTGTCCAGTATTATTTTGGAAACGTTGAAGAACTTGATCAGGAACGAAGACAAAGAAGTGGATGTTAGCGACTGGCCGATGCCGTACAAGTTCAGTGAACGGAAGAGGGAGTATGAGAAAAATCAGCAAGCTGGTTTGCCAGAGCTATTTTCAAATCTTTCAGTCGCTTAAGAATGTCGTTTTTGAGCGTGTTGATTTTGGAACCCTTCTAACAGCTCCCCTGGAGCTGCAATGTTCCTGTTTGAGGATAAAAATAATGGGAAACAAGCTCTTTATACTGGAAACTTCAGATACTAGAAAAAAAGAAAAAACAATGAGATGAGGGATTTGGAAAAATTTGTTAAAAAACTCATAGCTGATGCTCCGATTATCGACTTTCTGTATGTTGACATAACACGCTTAGACATAGGTAGGTCAACCGACGAAGAACATAAACGACGATGAATCTATAAATCGTGGTTTAACAGAGGAATGACAATTTAAAAGGGAGAAACTTCAGGAATCAGGGCATACATAGTTCTGATAACTATAACTATCCTGAAATCGACTTAATCGTATATTTTGACTCTAAAACTTGAACCTACAAAATATAAGAACTGCAAGAGGCACTCTTTTGCATGGATTGATGAGGATATTTTCTGCATGAGATTCACTAAAGCTGATTAAAGCTTATTAAAGTTGATTAACTTTCCAACCCCGTACAATATCAATATAAGCATGCACAGTAATTGTTACTATAGCGTAAAACGTGTAAACTTTCTTTTAAGGGTAAGTTAAAGAACTATTTGTATGATCAGCTATAGCCTGGTTAAGCTATTTTTTGTGGCTTAGTCTTTTTTTGTGTGTTTTTTTTCCCGAGTATCCACTTCTTGTTTTTCTGGTTTTTATCGGTGTGTCAATAAAATCAAATATGTAATATGTATACTTTAACCATTTTTTGCGACAGTTAATCTGATATTATCTCTTTAACATTATTTAGTATTTTTTGGTTTATGAGACCCGTGTTTTGTTTTTAACTTTCTGCTCCGAGGAGGAGAGAAAGTTATTTGAGGAGAGCCGCTCAGACATAGGCACCGTATTGTGTAAATTATTTAGTTATCTTTATACAATATCTTTGTCGCATAGTAGCGGGGTAGTAAATACAGTGTTTCGTTTCTTTTCGTTTCGTATCAATTATTAATTATTATTGCCATTGGGTTTTGATTTCATTAATGAAGATATGACCAGGTTCGTACTAATTATTTGCCGATTATGTGATTC